TGGCTTTTCTTAGAAATTAACTGTCAGTTGGTTTCAGCAGTACTTTTCTCTATTTTCTCTCATTTCTTGTTATTACAAATCAACATTGCTTTCTTTTTTCCTGGGCCTTCCTAATACTCTACTTGCAGAGTATTTCTTCTTTAGTCTAAATAAAAACACTAAATACTTGGTGTACTGGCTCAGAAGAAAGCTTATCTAAGGCAAAAATTTTCTCTACTGTCTAATTTTTAAGACTATATTTTAAACGCTTCTTATTCACTAGTGAGAAAATTACAAAATGGACTATTAAAAAAACATGAGATTTGCGCCACTTAGAGAATGCATTATGTGCACCATTGTTCATATTTAGAGATGTCCCTAAATATAGATGTACTGAACTACCTACATATAATTCAGATCATGTCAAAGCACAAACCCCTCTCAGTGTGGGGTAGTGTGGGCATTTTGTTATCTATAGCAGCTGTTGTCTCTTTTTGAGGGTAAAAAATCCTACTCCTGTTTAAATTTATGTTGCATTGAGCGAGTTGTATTGCTGGTGATTATATGTGGCTCAACTGTGTCACGTGGCATGACCTGCAATAACCCGACTTAATGCAGTCCACATGTTGTACTGAACAACGCACATTAAAACATTCCACTTCTCCACAGAACTGTGTGAGCAGGTGATTTCTCTAAATGGCAGACACTCACACGCTTATATTTTAAACCTCCACCAGCTTAGCTAAAAATATCTTCAAAAGCCCACCCAAAACATTTCCCTTGGTTATTTTTGCAAATTGTTGGGTGAATGACAAAGAGCAGGGAGGGATGCACCAGAGGAAGTTTTGAATTATTTACATAATTTGACAGGATGGTTCCTCCTTAAAAAAAAAAAAAATCTACTTGGTGGAAGTCACTAAAAAGAACTTCACATAATCAGAGTCCTAGCGAAGGGACCCAATCAGTGATTATTAGCTTGTTGCTCTTTGGATTCCAGCTAAACTAAACAAACAAACACTAACAATACTACTTGTTCCAGCAAAGAGCTCTTATAGGTATGAACACTAGATTTGCCAGCATTTTCATCACTCTTTCCTGAGGACAGTGAGCACCATTGGTCCTGAGTTCACCTTGAAATGATTAAATTTTAAATTGGACCTCGAATGACCAATAGATACATTACTAGTACAATTTGGAGCAGAATTTTCCTTTTGTTATTAAGTGTATTGACCTCCTGGGAATGTAACATACAAGACTGGTATCTCCAGCATCCTGACCTAACCAACTGAAGCAATTTACCAGGTGTATGGCTTGGATAGATCCTCAGAGCACAGAGCATCAGCACAGGGCTGGGAGTTGGTCATGCTGCTCACATATCTGTTCTAGCCTGTGCTAGGTGGGTGACCCAGTGCAAGTTGCTGAACCTCTCTGAGGTTTTACCTCAGCTATAAAATAAGAAGATAATGCTATGTACGATGAAGTGTTGTTATAAAAGTGGCTGAATTATGTGAAGTGCCCTGAATAGAATGCTTGATATACAGGAGACATTCAAATAAGAGAGCTATTATTAGCTTTGTTCAATTAGAGGAGGATAAAACCATCAGTCTCTCTTTAAGTAAACTGAGAAAAATAAATGAACAAATTTTTACAAGATATGGCAAGTTCTCCCTTTCTTTTTCTTTTTCCAAGAAATAGTGGAGGCCCAGTGTACTATTCAAGTCAATTCCAGGCACTTATTTTCTAAGACATCTTGTTAGGGGTTTTAGAACATTTGCTTCCACTTCCCTTTATGCTTATCTAAATTGTTTGAAAGGTTGAACAACTAGAAGACTAAATATCATGGCAAAAGTAAGAAATAAAAATTTTGCTTACCAAAGACATTTTTAGTTTTGATGATGTAACATATGCATTCTTACCCCGGTTCAATGAATGAGGTTCATTGAGCCTGTCAAGAAAGGTAATGGTTTCTCAGCAGAGGACCTATGTATATGTCAATTGGAAAGTATATTTGTACCAACATGTGTCCATCTCTGTGACAAGCACAAGAGACAATAGAGCAAGAACATAAATCTGGTGGGAAAGATTTGGTCGCTGTTTGACATTAAGTAAATATCAAACAGAAAAGTAGTTGTACTATATAGGAACATTTACTTGTTGACATTGAAGAATGAGATATAACTAACCTAATGACAATGTGTATCTCTTTCAAATAAAGTACAAGAACAAAAGTGATAGTGTTGTTCAGTCATTCTTGAAGCTGGGACCTTCTCCATTTTATCCAACATCTTTTTCTCCTCTGTAGATGAAGTTCACGTTATCTTTACCCTTTGTAGATTTCTTTCCTTTTTGTCTTACTTTCAGGGGAATTTATGGCACAGAATATCAACTGAGGTCTTTTGATTCCAAGTTTCAGTATGTGATATTGTCTAAATTTATTATAAAATTTTTCTTTAATAAGGTATAAGGTTTTTCTGTTTTTCCTCCATATTTAAATTTTCTTTAAGCTGTCTTTTTTTTAAAAAAAAAAAAAACAAGAACTATATTGTATGTTCTAGAAGCCAAATAGTTTAGTGTACTTCCTTCAATATGAAGGAAAGTACAAATGTACCTTCAATATAACAAATTGGAAACTAAGCAGCTATCTTGGGTAATGTTCCATAGCAGGTGTTTAGTAACTTCTTATTCATGTGAATGGATGAGTAAAACAACACTGAATTAAACTAAGAAAGTTAGAAATAAAAAAAATTGGTTTGTAGTTTGTGCTCTATGCTATTTCTAATTGTTATTATAATTCTCATGGTTATTATTTATGTTGTTTCAATTTTGAGGGTTTCCTCCAACATGCAAACATGTATACATACATGTATTTACTAAATTAATGATAAAATCTTCATATAAAAAAATTGAACTCGGGTCCTACCTTCACTACATTTGGAAAACTTAAGTGAAAGATAAGTAAAAGCTACAATATCAAGAGAGACAGGCTGTTTGGAGAGATGGATTAACTCTGACCCAAGTTTTACTTGAGGAGATATTATTTTACTCATGGAGCAATGTGCACAGGTGGTAGTCTGAGTTTAAGAACAGGGAACACTGTGATTTTCACTAATAAATCACATTTACAGAAACACATGTGTTAAATATATATAGGTGGGTGGGAGGGATTTTGCTTTGGGAAACTGGCTATAATTTAAAAAGTACTTTCTGTGAATGTCTATATTTTACATACTGCATCTGCCGGACCTTATCAATGAAGTGAAGACACAGAAGAGAGAATTATCTCTAGTTAGAGAAAAATATGGGTAAAAAAAAACTAAAAAAAAAACCCTGCATGGCTACAATTACAATTTCTCTTTTCAGAGACACAACTTAAAACAAAGAAGGATAAGTATTCTGTTTATGTGTCACTTAGTAAGAACCTATACTTAACACAGGTAAAGGAAGTAAGGTGTATCAAAGTTATATTACTTGCCCCAAAATGGTACACCGAATTTATGGCATAGAATATCAACTGAGGTCTCTTGATTCCAAGTTTCAGTATGTGATATTGTCTAAATTTATTATAAAATAGTCAAATGATGGCATTTTTAAATTGCACTGCAGCATTTTTGCCATAATTATGCTCTATCCACACTGAGGAGAAAGACTGTGGGATTCTAGAGAAACTGAAATGCAAGAATTCATAACATGGGGGAGTTGAAATAATAATCTAATTAGAAAAAGTACAAGAAAGGACTTACCCCAAACTAGTTTATGCTCACAGAAACCAAATTGTGCAATTCACGTTGAGAGAGGAAAGGACTGGTGGGGAAGTGAGACTTCATGTAGCAAATGGCTTTCGAAGGGAGAGTGATGTTTGCAAAGTTGGGGAGGAAGAAGTATATCCAATTAGGGAGAAAACCTGATGTGAAAGTACGTATCCTGTACACGGGCCTCTTGCAATGAGGCTTACTGTTGGCTGGTCAGTAGGGGTTTGGAAAAGGAAAATAAGTGTTGATGTGTAAGGACAAGTGAGATTAAACCATGTGTCATGATGGAAAGAGCATAGACTTGAGAGCCAGATCCATCTGAATTTGAAGCTTCACCTGTTATTTAACAACTTGGCTACTCTGCACATTCTGAGCTTTGAGTTTCACCTCTGTGTAATGAACACCCACAGATTTGGGTCAAGTGAAATAACACATAGGTGATCAAAGGGTCTCTCATGTAATAGGTGTGCAGTAAACATGCCCCTGTGCTTTCTCCAGTTGGTTTCTCTGTAATATATGTCAAATTATTCCAAGAAATGCATATCAAATGCATATATGAAGTATACTTGAAATAATATGCATGAAATGTATTAACAAATATATATCAACTGTACATGCAGTCATTACGTTGGTACCATCACTATCATAGAAACAACGGAGAGAATTGTTCAGATCAGGAGTATGATCTACAACAGTGGTACTGAGAACACCTGGACCACGCAACTGGAGAGTTCTCAAACTTCATGCAGCTAATATTCTGCACAAATGAACAAAATCAAGTGTTGCTGTTATTTTGTGGAGGGTATCTCTGATTGATCTTTTATCTTAGCCATGAACTGTCTGTAGAGTATGACATAAGTAGTCAAGATAGCTACAAAGCATGGCACAAGTACTATGCTATATATCCAGAAGGTGAAATTTAATGATCCCTAGTACATGGATTACACTTATCGAATAGTCAGCTTTATAGGCTCTTAAAGTCTATGAGGTATATCTATGAGCTGTCTTTGTTGGATGGACTAATTTTTAGTGCTTGCTAATTGGAAAAGTGTGTATAAGAAGATAAGAATTGTGAGAAGGGTCCTACCTATTCCAGAACTTGGAACCAATATAGAAAAAACTTTAACTCAATTCAAATGCCCTGTGGTATTAGGAACAAATTTGGATGAATTTTTGAATTCCCACAATTCTACAAATTATCTCAAGCTTAATCTCTTTCAGCTGGTCATTATCAGTGTGTATTTCATTGTTGATGTCTTTTTTTACAGGGACCATCATTGCAAGCATGCATGGGCCACATCATGTTGGATGATGGATTAAGCATCTAGATGACACCTGCTGTTTGTTGACATACGTGAAACAGTTTTCTCATGGACCGTGAACGTAGCAGCTTTTAGGTACTTTCAGTTATTCTTATCCATACCTATGGATCTAGGTTTTCATACACCACGGACTATTATATAATCCTCATTTCTATTTGAATAATGGAAATCTAGGAGCCGAATATCAGTACAATTCTGCCAGACTGACTTCTTCTATCAAAAGTTTCAATTTTTAATAAAGGTATAAATGTTACTTACTTTGAAAAAAAAAGGAGTGTTCAAATACTGCAGGAAAAGTTAGTTGAAACCAGTAAAAACACTTCCAGTTTAGGAAATATTCAAATCGTAAGTTTCTTTTGTCCTTAGTATTTGGTTTCTGCAAGTTTTTCCATAACATGTAAATCACTGAAGGTGAGGCGTTTCTCTGTGTTACTCTTTTGGCTCTGGTCTGTGTATACATTCTGTATTTCCAGAAGCTACTATGTGATTCTGTGTTTGATAATCTGATATAATAGGCATTTTTGTGGTAAGGATCTTTCCCTTGATGGAAAGTAATGAGACCACATTTGTTCCTTTTTCACTTTTCATTTGGAAGAGACAATTGCAGGTGGTGCCTTGTGTTCTTGTGGCCTTTTCTTTCTGCTTCTATATGTTGAAGAAGTCCTAACAAGTTTGAGTGTCAACTTTTCAATTTTGTTCAAAGAATTTGACATTATGGCACATAGCAGACAAATATCTTGTCTCCCTAGAGCCTATTTTTTAATTGAGGTGGAGCTTAATTGATGAGAAAAATATAAAAAAGAAACCAATGGATTAAACTTATATTGAACTTTTATAATTATTGCTATATTACATAACATACGTATATACACATATATGACATATATATGTGTGTGTGTGTATATATATATATGTATGTGTGTGTATATATATATATGTATATATACACATATAATTTATTTATTTGAGATAGGATCTTGCTGTGTTGCCCATGCTGCTCTTAAACTCTTGGGTTCCAGTGTTCCCCCTGCTACAGCCTTCCAAGTAGCTGGAACTATAGGTGTGTGTCATTGTGACTGGCTATTAATTTTTTAAGACTGAGCATGAAACTAAGCTCTTGGCTTAGAGTAGGGAGAATAATTGACTATTTTTTAAAAACTGTGTATGTTTTTCTTTGACCATTAGTATTTTTAGAGTGTATGTTTCTCCTAAGTTCTTTTTCACCCTCAAAAATCTCTCTCTCTCTCTCTCTCTCTCTCTCTCTCTCTCTCTGCTTTCTAATGTATTTCTTACTAGATACCAAATGATTACCTCCTAGACTATGGGCTTCACAGCTTTATTTAATTTGCCTTCACTGACACATCATTATAATTAAGAAAAACAAATTAGAAATATTCTGTGTCCCAATAAATGGAAGGTCATCTAGGTTGTGCTAAGAAAAGCCAGGCCTATAGAACAAGGTGATATTCTCACTCATCCTCATTGTCTTAATACATCATCAGGAAAATTCTGTTCATTGTATTTACTCATCATACTGAAGGAGCAACCAGCATCTTAGACATTCAAAGGCTTAATACAGGAGGGAAAAGAGTTCCAGAAGGTCCTGAATTGGAAATGAAATGCTGTGTCCTATAAGAGATACCAGGCTTGTGTTCAAAACCCATTGGCCAGACCTAGATACACATTCCTATGTAACCAAGGGAGAGATGGGAAATGTAGTCTTTCCTGGATGCGGTAGATTGGAATTAGAGAAAGGATTGTGGCAGGGAGATTGCCACGGGCCCTTGATCTCAGCTGATAATAGGGATGTTGAAAAACTAGGTTTTATTTGGCAGCTTTGAAGATGACTGGAAGTGGACCCTGTGTACCATGGAGCCATTTAAGCTTCACCATGCCTAGTACAGTCTGTTTTGGACTCTAAGTACTCAGCAACATTCTGGCTCAGTCCTGAGTGGAGGCAGTGTAACACGATGTCCATAAACATAGGCTTTGGAGCTAGAGAGTCCTGGATTTGAATCTTCACATCTTTCATTGACTGTCAGTGTCTTCTTGAAGAGTTATGTTATTATCTGGACATTAATTTTTCCATCTTTAAAATGATAATAATTATAATAATAATAAATATCATGTTTTTTTGTTTAACACTTTCTTCCACCTGACAAAAATGTAAGTTCTATGAGGGTAGGGATTTTAGTCTCATTAGCTTCTAAGCTCTTTGAACATTCCCTGATACATAGAAGATATTTGACCTTTGTTGAACAAATAAATGTAAGTAGAGAGTATTTGTGAGCATCAGTTGAGGTCATATTAATGAAATCCTTTGCACAGAGGCTGGTTTATTTTAGGTATTATTGTTTTTATAACCCTGGAAGAAAATTAAGAAATAAATTGACTTGAATGTAATAGGAGAATTCTTTCCTAGATCTGTTTATAGCAAGATATACTCAGTGAAGAGGCAAGAAAGAAGTAAAAGTCTAGGGAGTTTGAAGGTATAATTTCATTTTAAATTCAAGAAATTGAATTTTTAAATTTCTATCCAGAGAACTTCCAAAAATCTGGAGCCTTTGGGTGACTGGCAGTGTTTTGAACTGTTAAGCATAGTTTTGTTACTTTCCTTAGGGTCAAGACATATTGGAAGAGAACTACATCTCTTAGGACTTCTCTAAGGGATATGGGGCTGACATCTGCAATCTCAGGTTTGACCATTCTTCATCCATCCATCCGTCTGTCTGTCCATCCATCCATCCCTTCATTTAATTCAATAAATATTTATTGAATACCTATTTTGTGTCAAGGACTGTAATTTTTCTTCAAATTTCCTTTATTTTTTTTGAATAGGGTAACAGACATTTTAAGTTCATTTTGACAAGTAATGATAACCAAAGACCCATAGTTCAGATTACAGCAGGACCCTCCTGACAACCAGAGAATCATATTACATTATAGTGCATTCTTCCCCACAGAATAATGTTGTATTTTGTGTAGTTTTGAGGGTAAAATAAAATGACTTAGAGAGTCAGCAAAAAGTCTAGTAAATATGGGTTGATTATGTTTTTACCATTTCAATTGGCATCACCTCTAGAAAAGGATTTGTTCCTGATTAGCCCCATCACTAAATTTTTGGTGCTAAATGTAGTTAATTGTTATTTCAAGAGTTTAAAATGAAGAATTTCAGAAATGCATTTTTCCCCTTTAATCTTAATATTTGTAGATGGTTTGGCACAAATAAAAAATTCTCTGCTGTATTTATTTATGATATGTCTCTGTTGGAAGACAATAATCTTTCTGGTTCTTAATCTAAATTGACCTGCAGTGTACCAATAAAACAAGTCACAACACAGAAAGTAAATTTTCTCTGTATAAATAATTAACTCTTTAAGATTTATTGGCCTTTCTTTATTTCCCCCTTTCTCTGAGTGGTGTAATCCAAATAAAATGTTGCATTTATTCTTGTCTGATAAAATATTCATAAAAGAAACCACTACCTTTGAATTTGGATTAAGAAACTATGAAGAAAACAGGGTTGTGAATGTTGACCTTGTCTCAGCACTACCTGGAGCCCATTAGCTAAAACCAAATGTCTGCAGGGAATCTACTTTTACTTTACCTTTATTTATTTATTTTTGCTCCTTAGTTTTTGTTAAAACTTTCACTGTCTCCAAACTACTACATGATGAATTTTGAAACAAATCAAAGCAAGTAATTAGTAAGTCAGCCAGAACTAGGCTAGAAAATCTTCTTGCATGATCTGGGTGGCTTTGGAAATAATGAGAGCAATGAAGAAAGATTCTGCCAGTTTTCGATGAGCAGTTTTTGCTGCAATAAAATGAGATTTAGAATGGAGAGTTTGATCTTTCATATTGTTTGGTGTTCATGTGGAGGTGAAATGAGTCTGTTCTCAGGGAAGACTCACTACCATGTTGCTTGGTTTCTCATGTTTGTGTTTATCTGTAGGTCAGTAGGTTTATTTGGGCTTTGGTGCTTATGTAAGCTTGGGGATTCCAGCAAGGTGTCTGAATTTACTATTTGATGGGTAACACCACCAGTACTTAAAACTCCAAAGTCTGTGATGATGGGCAGTACATGTTCTTTTAAGAAAGATAGATCCCTGGTGTTCATTGTATCCTCCAGAAAAGTTTTTAGTTTATGATTGCCACAAAACCATTTGCTTGATTGTTCTTTAGAGGAAGTAAATTCTAGGGGACAGAAAGATCTTTGTTCTTTGAGCTCATTTTATAAGAAAATCTTTACTTCAATAACGACCTATCTTAACCTTTAAGGGGAAGCATCCCAGAGGACTCTTTGGAACATCTTTGTCTGTTGATAAAAGATTTTCACTGGAAGCTGGCCTTAGTGGCTGTAATTCCAGCATCTCGGGAGTCTGAGACAAGTTCAAAGTCAGGGCTGGGGAGTTTTCAGTGCTTGAGGCCCTGAGTTCAATTCCTGTTACCAAAAAAAAAAAAAAAAAAAAAAAAAAAAAAAAAATTACTGGATGATGTTGCATATATGTTTTAGTATGCAGTTGACACATTTTTTTCCCTTGAGAAGGTAGATATTTTACTTTGAGATTACCCATTTAATTTTTTTCATGTCAAAATGTACTTTCTTTTGTAAAATAATGATGAGAATAGAAGGTAGCCAAATAAGGTTTTAAAATATGAAGGTCTCTTATTTTTGCTTGAAATCAGTCAGTTCACACAATTTAAAAGTCTGGGAACCACTGAACTGAGCAACATCAGATCTGGGAAGAGACAGTTCATGTGAGGGGCAATGACCTTAGTGAGCTCTACCTTATCACCTGTGTCCTACTACCTAGTCAAGTGGTATTGCAAGGGTTAGGGTTCATGTATAGCGTTTCTTTTTTCTTTTCTTTTCTTTTCTTTTTTTTTTTTTAACTGAGTTAATTTTCACTAGAACAGCAATCCCAAAGAGGATCTGAACCAACAGGAACTGACAGGGCCTTTGCAACTGAAGTGTCAGCATTTGACTGCCTTGTTGTGGTATAGACACATTTTTAGTGTTAGCGTCAGGGTTTTAAGTAATTCTTATTTTCTAACCGGGACGAGTTCTTGAGGATTTCAGGATAATTTTCCTTTCTGTGTTAAACAGTGGTTGAGTGTTCCAGGATGAGTTTGTTCACTCTACTTAAGAAATGATGGCACTTACTGGTAAGACCTTGTAAACCCTGGAGAAAGATGTACAACTATGTACAAGTACACATTATGTGTTTTCAATTTTGTGCCTAATGAGGAAATTTAGAAAAAATTGAAAAATAAAATGAAAAGAGTTTACTCTTTTATTTCTCTGAAATGGCAAGTACTAAAATTTTCTTACATGCCTTTTTGGTCTTCTTTGTGCAAATGTTTATAAACATGGGATCACCCTCATTATAACATTTAAAAATATAATCTAATTTTGCTAGTTAACAGCACATAGAAAATATTTTCTTATCATTGACCAATCTCAGGGATACTATTTTTAATGATTGCATAATGTTTTGTTTTATGATTCCATTTTGGGGGGCACTTAGTTTGTTTTCAATGTTTTACACTTGCAAATAATGCCTTGATGAACATCACCATATTCACCTTTGACTTTTCTTTCTTAGAAAGGTTTTCAAGAAGTGAAATTCATATCCTATTGTTAAATACACATATTTCCCAGCTCTGAAGAATGATTTGAAGATTTTATCAGCAGAGACAATAAAAGTAAGATCCTATTTTTTAGATGTAATATCAGAACCCAGATTAAATGGCTGACCAGAAAATATTTATGTTTTCTGCTAGACATCCTGGAAGTCCAAGAAAGGGAATAATTTAGAGGAAGGATAAAGAACTGAGCTGTAACATCAGTGTGACCAGATAAGAATGTGAGAACAGAAAAAATACTGCTTTTCTAGTCTTTGCAATGAGATTGAAAACTGTTGACATGGTCACACCTGGTGGTACTGTCTATACTTACAGGATTAAGAACTATCTTATATTACATATCGTAGTTTAACAAAGTAGACAGAAGACTAGTGGCATGGTAGTGACTTCATAACATTAAACTTATATACATTTAAGTTATTGCCACTTCTACCTGACGGGAGCTTTTCTGCTTCACAGAAAAACTAAATTTTTGTGATATTTTCGGGGGACAGTTGTGAAACTCCGAGTTCAGGTGGTAAGGAAAGTTCTATTTAAGGAGTAGCTAGGGATAAAATGCGTGTTAAATATTAGGTCTCATTTAATGTATGTCTTATTTGGTTGTGCTGTTTTGACCTGCAAGTTCTCTACCTGCGCCTCAACTGGTGAAACAGGATAAGAAGCAAACAGGCTGTGTAAGCATCCCTGCTCAATATGCAATCCAATCACACCTCTGGCTCTGTGAGCTGTAGCCAGGGCTTTCAATTAAATTACCAGACTGACATAAATCTGATTTTGGACTGAATTTCATGTGTTTAAAATACTAAACCACTGTTTACCAATCCCTAATGAGGAGTAATCAAATAATTCAAACAGCAGTACAAACACTTACATTTAACTATAGATAGAGCCAAATTAAATAGAAGTACATCTTTATGAGAAAATATGGGCAAACATGGCTCAAAATATTCACTCTGTTCTACTCAGTATAAAAGGGAAAATGATATCATGATTTATTTTAAACACCTTTATTTTGGGTGTTGTCAAGTTTCAAGACTAAATTTGTTGCATGCATTACCCAAACTCCCTTAAAAGAGTGAAAAATCTCCATCTGACAGATTCCTGGATCACAAGAAATGGATATCCACTCCCTCCTTCATTCAGCCTCAGTAACCCAAGCTATGTCTTGGTTATTTGTTTCAGGTTTTCCTTGGGTTATAGATATGGCAAGATCTTAGTTGAGCCTTAGTTGTCTGTTTTCTAAGCTCCTGATACAAACCGATGTTTGAGCCTTGCTTATTGGATGCTTGCTACATATGGAAATTAACAATTTGGTAAGAATATCAAGCAATCTAAATGTACCTGATTACCCAAAATGCTCTATGGTTAGTTTTCTTTAATTTCTTACATATATTCAAAATTATCAAGTAAAATTTCCCTCCAAAAGTAATAATATTTACTACAATTTGCAAGTTAAATTAGAATATTCCATGTCTGGGAATATGGAAGGACAATAATGAACAGCACCATTAATAAATATTTATTAGACCCTTGCAATTGTGCAGTGCATTTTGCTGTACCTTTATGATACAAAAAGTAATAGGACTGTCCTTAAAAAGTGGAGAGTCTAAAAGAAAAATATATGTCATATTTTTCAAGGTGTTTTTAGGGATTGTGCTGCTTTATCGGATAGGTATACCAGTGGCATTGTAGGTCTCCCTGCTGGGGCACAAGAAGATAGAGCATGTGAATATCATGCAACCTTGTAAATCCCTCATTCCAGAAGTGATACAAGTTACTTTGACTTGTGGCTCATTGACCATAAGTAGTCTCATAGCTTCCACCAGACTGCAGGAGAATGGGAAATCTTGCCATGCACCAAAAAAGGACAAGTCCTGAAATTGGTGAATAATAATAATTTAAAAAAACAGAAGATGAAAAATAGGATCCTAAAAAGTTAAAATTTAAATTATAAGATAGTTTCATGACAAAAATTCAAATAATGTTAAAGATTATAAAATGCTTAGAAAAGTCCTTCCTTAAATTCAGATATCCTACATGTAGCCACTTTTCGCAGTTTATCATTCTGGAAATTTTTTCTTTTAATTATATATAAGCATCACACACACACAGACACAAGTAATCATACTATGAAT